TATTTTTAGCTCTTTGAGATATCTCCAAATTACTTTCCACAGGGGTTGTACTAGTTTGCAGTCCCACCAGCATTGTAAGAGTGTTACAGTCTCTCCATATCCACACCAGCATTTGTTGTTTTGGGACTCTTTGATAAAGGCCATTCTCACTGGAGTTAGGCGATATCTCATTGTAGTTTTGATTTGCATTTCCCCAGTGATTAGAGATGCTAAACACTTTTTTATGTTTGCTGGCATTATTCTGTTTTCTTTTGAAAATTTCTGTCCATGTCCTTTGTCCATTTATTGATGGGGTTGTGTAATTTTTTTCTTGTTAATTTTCTTAAGTTCTATACAGATTCTTGTTGTTAGCCCTTTATCAGATTTGTAGAATGCAAATATTTTCTCCCATTCTGTAGGTTATCTGTTCGCTCTAATGATAGTTTCCTTGGCTGTACGGAAGCTTTTTAATTTGATCAGGTCCCATTCATTTATTTTTGCTGCTGCTGTGAATGCTTTAGGGATGTTCGTCATAAATTCTTTGCCTAGGCCGATGTTTCCCAATATTTTCTTCTAGAATTCTTAAGGTTTCACGTCTTAGGTTTAAGTCTGTTATCCATTGTGAGTTGATTTTTGTGAGAGGTGAGAGGTGGGGGTCCAGTTTCAGTCTTCTGCATGTGGTTATCCAGTTTTCCCAGCACCATTTATTGAATAGAGATTCTTTCCCTCAATGTATATTTTTGTCTGCTTTGTCCAAGATTAGATGACAATAGGAGGATGGTTTTATATCTGGGTTCTCAGTCCTGTTCCAAAGGTCTATATCTCTATTCTTGTGCCAGTACCATGCTGCTTTGATTACTATAGCCTTGTAGTACAGCTTGAAGTCTGGTAGACTGATATCTCCCAATTTGTTCTTTTTGCTTAAGATTGCTTTGGCTATACGAGGTCTTCTCTAGTTCCATATGAAGCGTAGAATTGTTTTTTCCAGATCTGTAAAGAATGATGGTGGTATTTTGATAGGGATTGCATTAATTCCCTAGATCACTTTAGGTAGTATGGACATTTTAACAATATTGATTCTGCCAATCCATGGGCATGGTAGGGTTTTCCATCTGTTTAAATCTTCTACAATTTCTTTTCTCAGTGTTTCATAGTTCTCCCTATATATGTCTCTCACCTCTTATGTTAAATATATTCCTAAATATTTAATTTTCTTTGATGCTATTGTGAAAGGTGTTGCAT